ACTGCTACTGCTACTACTACCACCACTACTACTACTACTACTACTACTACTCCTGCTGCTGCTGCTGCTGCTACTACTACTACTACTACTACTATTACTACCACCACCAGCACCACTACTACTACTACTACTACTACTACTATAGCATCAGGACTGGCCCTCGCCTTGGTCGCCTCGACAGAAGCTGACTGAGAGGCCAAACAGCTTCGATTCGGAGATTCCGTTTCATGCTGACAAGTCATGTCTTGTGTAACAGCAAGACGCCAATCGATACTCATGTCAACGACTGGCAAGACTCTGCACTTTCAAGGCATTGCTCGTGTGCACACATATGTGCCAGTAACCTGACCATGTCCAGCCTGCTGCAGCGGGTTGATTCTAATTTTTGTCCAAACTTTTGATGCCGTACCTGAAACTGTTGCGCCAGCAGCGAGCGGCCGCTCTCGGTGCGATCAGGGATGCACCGCTATACGAGTTGCGAGCTTGGCACTGTCCACTGCCTGGCACTGCGGAATGAGAGCTTCGCACGCGCTGTCATGCGCTTTGCTGGCCCAAGGCGACCATGCGAGCAGCTCGGCCTCCAGGTGCGTCTGTGCTGAGCGCCCTGAGCTCTCTCCCCCAGCCGCGGCTCTTCGTCTCAGTCCGGCGCTGCGCTCGGCCTCCTTCGACGGCGAGTCGCCTTGGGCGTCCTTGCGAGGCACCCGCAGCAGAGTGCGTCGGGCGTTAGCTCCCCGTGCAGACACCGCTGGAAGCACAATCAGAGTCAGTCCAGGTGATTCTGGAGGGTCGCAAAGGGTTGTAAGGATTGTGAGGAGTGCTAGCAGAACTATGGAGACTGGTTGGACTTCGTTTGAATGCCACAGCACCCAGAAGAAGAGCCGAAGAAACCAACTCGAAAAAGCAAGCAACACGATGAAACGAAAAGGCAAAGCCAGAGAGTCAATCACACAAGAAACCCAGCTCATCGGAAGTTTTAGATCAGCCTTGTTTGTGTTTTTCACTTCGAGTGTTTCGAAATTCTTCGGTGTGTTGCTGCTTTTTGGGTTCAGTTCGGTGTTGGTGATGTTTGCCAGCGCAGGAGGACTTGCAGCGACGTAGAACCACCTACATCACCACATTTTCGCATTGCCATGGCCCTTAAAGCACCATGCACGCATTTTTGTTTTGGGAATCATGAGCAAGAAGCACAGTTCCAGTGGCTTCCTCAAGTTGGCCAGTTCGTGGCCATGTCCAATTTGCCATAAGATGTTCTTGAGTTCTGTTGATCTTGCTCAGTCCTACCCTGGCTAATTGATGAAAGCAAGTCCACGACAAAGTTGTTCGTAGAATGCTTGCCTCGGACTTATAAACTTCCAATTGCGCGAAGCGCAGCTCTCGAGCACGTTCGAAAACACATGCATGGTAGGTAACCTCCTGGAGACCCTACCTTCCGTAGTCCCCATGAAAGGGCCCGGGAACCCACACGTTTCACCGCAGAAGAGCTTTCTTTCACAGTCGCGCCCGCCGACAATTTATGTTGGTCAGCCTTCTTGGGACAGAGGCTGGGCTTTAGGCTGTCACTTGGCGCTGGGAAGATTTTCGGTGCTCGTGGGCTCGGAGAGCCTGGGCGGATCAGCGGAAACGCGTGGCAGGTCAGTGCGAGTGGGCATGGGAAGCCGGAGCAGATCAGTTCCGTAAAAAGCCAGAGGCAGGCCGAGGGGCGAAGGATTGCGGTGCAGGCTGTCATTTTGCAGAATTTCTGGGAGCAATGGATGCAAGGACAGCAGGAGCAGCAACAACCAGTGCTCTGAAGCAAACAAAGGCTGGAACAGGCGTTTGGGAGCGCATGGAGCGCCTTTCGGCGCCTGGTTGCAACAAGTGAGCGTGCAGTGGCCGTGGCCGAGCAGCATGCCAAGTCGAAGAACATAACCACGGCTTTGTGGTTGGAGCAATACTTTCAGCTGTGTACCTTGTTAGCAGGCTACCTCCAGGACACGAACAAGGATGGTGTGATAGATCCTGAACCCTGCCGTGGCCAGAGGCGACAAAGCAAGGAGCCAGAGGTTTTTCGGAATCTTGTGATCAGTCAATGGTCAACGGCCGCCCTTTGCTGCATTTCGAGTCCTCGAAGTCAGGCCTGGAAGCGCTGAAGCTGCTGAAGACGAAGATGGAGCAACACAAGGTTTGGTGCTCATGCGCCAATCGGCCAGCTAGCTGGCAGTTTTCTGACGTGTTGGATTGCGTGAGCAGCTGGGAAAGAACAAAGGAGGAAATGATGGCGAAGGGAAAGGCAAGGATGCCTGAGCAGTTGAGAAAGAACAAAGGAGGAAATGATGGCAAAGGGAAAGGCAAAGACAAGGGCAACGACGGAGGAGGAAGGGCAAACGCGGCAACAAACTCCAGCAGCAGGGTTGGGACAAACTGTGGCAAGGCTGGAACACGCAGTGCAAGAGCAATGGCTGCAAGTAGCAGGAAGAGACTGGAAAGTCCAAGGGCCAGTCGGGACTACGCCACACTTGTCACCAGCCTAGCTGTTGGAAATGGAAGTGCACTTCAAAGCAAGCGGCAAAATCATTGCGGTTATCCCAGCACTCAGCAGCCCCAACAGCAAGGAGAAGGAGGATGGCAGCAGCAGCAAGGAGGCATTTGGTCCTCGGCGGCATCTGCGTGGTCGGACCCCGCAAGCGGTAACCGGTAAATCGAGTCCAGGCTTTCAGCTGCAGTATCTCTGCCATTGCCCTGGACGCTGGTGCTTTGACCCCGAAGTGGAACCTCTGGCTGGTAGCATTTTGCCGTAGGGGCTGCCGATCTGCGTCTCCGAACTGCCTTTGTAGAGCTCAGTGTGGGGCCCAGATGATTGGAGTTGGACGCCTTCTAAAACATCCCGAGTGAAGCCGGGGGATTTTGAGTGCAAGCGGCAGCTGTTCCAACAGGGGAGTTTGCGCGCATGCCCAGGAAGCTTCAAGATATCAGCCCCGAGCTCCACCGAGGCTCCACCTTTGTCCGCGCGTCGATGCCCTGGAGAAGAACCTCCCGATTGAATTGGGGGAGGTGTTCAAGGAGGAATGCGCTGAGCATGTTGAGGTCCTGCTTCTCCAAGACAGATGATGGAGCTGGTGTGGGTATGCGAGATTGCAGGCAAGCAGGCCGAGACCGAGAATGGCAATATGCTTGAGGGTGTCGAGCTGTCGGTCGAGACCTTAGAAGGAGTTGCACCAGCTCCGTCGCAAGCTTCGGCTTGCGACCTCAGGAGGTTAGAGCAAAGTGCGAGGTTGCCCCGATTGCCCGAGGCATCTTCAAGGATCAAGCGGGGCCCAGAGACACGTAAGACACCAGTGGTGCAGCAGCAGGAGCTGCGCTCCGAGACACACCAAGTGCCCAGCTCGATTATTCTTACACACTCACCCGCACGAGAGGAGCAGGAACAGGCCAAAGCCGTTGATGACTCCGGCGTGCAACGAGATGGTGAGCAAGACCAGGAGAAGAAGGAGAAGCCGGACGAGACGCCCAGGTACCATCACCAGTCGCAGCAAAGACCGCGACAAGGTGGCTAACAACCCTACGACGAGTGTATCATCCCAATGAGTACGATTGGATTGTGACAGAAGGGGTTAGATGCACTCGTAGGGCATCTGGACATTCCCACGTGCAAGCATCACAACACATCAAAGTCTGTCTGCCATTTCCATGTAGCCGCTCGATTACACAAACATGTGCTCGTTGCACACATCGACGTATCCAAAAGACAACATCGTTTGCGTGTATCTTTATGAGCCACTTCAGGGAAATGTGTTTCAACTCATTTGTCTCGCACTTTGTCTTGAAATGAAGAGGCGAGATTGTGGAACACATCGTGCTTTGTTAAGCTTTGTTAGATGTCGAGTTGTTTGCTAGTAATCGAGATAGCTGTATGCATACTTGGCATATTTGCTTTGATTATGAAACCTCGAACAGCAGAATATGTATGTTTATTACAGCATGCTTTCTGTTTGGCTAGATTTGACATTTCTTATTCGGCCGTGCTTAGGCTTAATGTGTACAAGCGAAAACTTGATGGATGTTCGCTTATGAAGGAAATGAGTCATATGAGTTCATAAACGGCCAGCTGCCAGCTTATTCAACAACAGAATTTCAGTTGCAGCTGGTTGAATCATGGAAATCATGTTTACATTTCTTAATATACACATTCAACCTGCCCACGCTTGACAATGGACGGTTCAGGCGAAAAAATAGCGAACTTGCGGCCAAATAGGTCATTTCTAAGCAGCAAATGAACTTCAAGCTATTTCAAGATTTGGAGACCAACACGTGCACATGTTACTTGGGCCAGTTCAATGAGCTTGACTTGTGGAAGAACTTGTGTAAGTGGACGAATTCAACCAGTTGAATTGATCGACAATGCTTTCTTTGCGTGATCGGACGCTCGGTTGGCTGTCTTCCTGTGGCCACCGAAAGTATGCAGACAGCGTGGCATACTGATGCACGCCGTTTGAATTATGAGATGTCTAAGCTGTCCGAACTGCCCAGTCAAATTTCTTCACAAGGTTGCCCAAGTTATTCTTATGTAAACGCCAATCTGAATAGCAAGCTAGGGCCGCAAGCCTCAATGCGACGGGTTAGATAACTCACGGTCCTCGTCTAGGCCTAATGCTGAGATTGCATCGCTGTGGAATGATACAACTCGATGGATTTCCAAAAGCCATTTCCGAATGTCGTCTTTTGTTTGTGTGCAGAGACGGTTAAGAAGAGCTAAAGCACGGTGTGGCTTTTCAGGCCTGGAGCCGTCAACTGCGCCGATCTCATGATAAGTTTCTCGACAGCCAGGAAGGATGATCAACAAAGCGAACCTCTTACTGCCAAGACCCGTCAACAAAGAACCTGGCACGACTTGTTGAGGCATGTAGGGTTTTGAGTTAGCTCGTTGTTGACGGTCTGGTCAGAACAGACTCCAGCGTGGGAGGATGGGCTAGGCCTGGTTTCAGCTTGCCTTGAAGTGTATCTGTGAACACTGGGCCTGCCAGATGTGGCTGGGCCAGTCCGGTGGCCGATGGAAACGAGAGGCGCGCGATACGCAGAGCAGCAGAGCAGTTGCGTTGGGTGCAAGTTTTCATTGTGTTGGGTTCTCATGGCCAGCTCGTCAACGTGATTAAGAACAAGCGAAATCGAAAGCTCCACACATCCCTTTCTTGTTGTCTTGCATGGGGCATCTGTGTTGCGCAAGTCTGGATGCCTTTCGTCACAAGCAACCTTTGCCTGCCCTATTCACCGTATGCCGCATTCACAAGTAGATGCTGTCGGATAAGCTCGACACAGCGGTCCGGATACCAGTGCGGGGACTCGCAGGATTGAGTGAAGCTTATTCCTCCAAACCCCTCCAAGTTCTTTCACACGTAGGACGTAGGTGTCTTGGGGACTGTCAGCTCGCAGGACACCTCGAGGACCTCCCCAGACTGAAGTCGACCGGCTCCAGGCTAAACTCCAGAACCCGTGGAGGGGAAACTGGCCACTCACCCGCTTTGCTGGAGGCCCTCCGTACCACCGCTGAACCTCGCGGCCGCGAAGCCCCACGGGAGGGGGGAAGTGCAAGCCCTCTATGAAGGAGTTGTAGACTGGCAGCAGCGCTCGACCTGTGCTTCAAGCTTGAAACCTGGGCAGATGTGCGGCCGGCAGTGAGGGCACGCCGACGACACAGAGACTGAAGACACAGTCCTCGTCACGGCTGTCGCGAAGGCTCAAGATGGAGGCTAGCGGGCAGCCGGCAGAGCAGCACATGCGCACGCCTTCTTTCTGAACGTGGTCTCAGGCCCAGGCCCAGCGAACTCCGCTGCCGAGCCGCCTTGCTGCGAGCTTCTTCTTCGGAGCCCTGGCTCGAGTCGTTGCAGTGGGGGCCCCCCTTCCACCCTTCCGCTTGCTTGGGGATTTTATGGGCTTACGATCTGAAGCTTCCGGAGCTGAGGAGCTTGTACCACCGCCACAAGCCCCCCTCCGAGCTCCTCGGATGACAGCCCTAGTGTGCTTCGCTTGTTTCTGCTGCCCAGCATCTGTGGGGCAAGCACCGACAGATCATATGCACACGAGATTGCGTTCAGGGAAGAGACATTGAAAGGGTGCCGGCTGCAGGCAATCCCAACGACGTCTTCACTGAGACTGGTAGGTTCACAGTGACGCCATTTGTGGGATTGAAGCGCTCTGGCTGCAGAAACTGTGGCTGACGCTTTTGTTTTCGGCTTTTCTTTGTAGGAACAGCTGGAGTCACAGACTCAACGGTCGATGCCTTTGGCCGGGCAGTGTGATCCGCAGATTAGCCGAGAGCTGCGAGGCGCCCACTCCTTTCCCGGGTCTGCGTCCCAGCGGCTTCGGGAGGCCGAGCGCCAGCGCCTTGGCCGCTCTACGCGGTCACTACCCTTTTATAATTTCAATCGCGGGAAGGCGAAGGCGGCGAATCATAGGCTCACAGGTCAGAGCCAGGGCTCGAGCAACTTCCTCCCTTCATCCCTCCCAGGTACAGACCGGCGATGATCTCGCGAAGAACCTTGGGGAATCCTGCTTACTGGCAGACCTCGGTCCGCTTTTACGAATGAAGCAGGCACCTGCATGTTACTCTAGGGTGATGTGTAGTTTGTATAGTATTGTTAGTGTCATTTTAGCATTGGTACACTTGGCTTAGCATTATTTTTAAACGTTGAAGTGTGTGTATGAGTATGAATAGGGGAGTTTTTATACCATCCAGCACTAGCACCATCAGTATCACTGTGGTATACAGTATACTGTGGTCTTTTCAGAGCACGTCGGTACGAGTATCATCAATACTCCGTGTACGGCCAAGATTGTTTGTTACCCATTCCGCCCACTCCTAGGTGCTGTCACATGCAACCAATCAGCACATTCGGCGCTGTCATCAGTCATGACTTCTACCTCGCATAGCCAACACCATTAGACCCATATCCTCGGTTTCCGTATCCTCGTAGAGGAAACAAATCGGCTCGGATTGCTTTCTGATGGGTACGGCGGTTGCAACGTAGCAAGCGCGTGCATCAAGATCGTCATGATGTGGGTGGTCACCATCGTCACCAGCTTGCATGCTTATTCTGATTGCACGGTCTACTGGAACTGTTTTCTTGCGAGTATCTACTTTCATGTTTATCAATGTTCAGGGTATCATGATGCCGAGTATGATTCCTTCGAGCCCCATTTCGCAAATAATGCAGAAGGAACATTGGGTGTGATGGAACGAGAGCAAGTCAAAACATTCCACAAGGGACACATGCGACTGCATACAACTTATGCTGCATTTTGAAATACAGCAGTGTGTTCCGTGTACTGGTCCATGCTGATCATACTGTGTTGGCTGGCTCATGAGTTGTTTGCCGCCCGTGGATTTGTAGATCGAGGTTCATGTCCGGAACAAGGGAACGTTTTCGAAAACCCTGTCCAACAGGAGAAGGCTGTCCAGGATGCCGTTGCCGCTCGAAGCGGCAGTGACCTGCTCAGCGTGGGAGCCGGCTCTAAGCTCATAGTTGGTGTGACTAAAGCAGATGTGGACTTCGTAGGACTATTTCATGCGTCCATGCATTCCAGCGGTTGTGGAATGCAAGCATCAATGGAATTGCAAGTGAAGCAGTGTGTTTGCCGGCTCGGCTTTTTGGCTTGGTGACTGGCTTCGCAACACCGGCTGGCAACAGCTCAAGCTTAGGTAGCAATGCCAGCATTGCGAGTGGGTCGGATGCGCAGCAGACGAGCACTGCTTATGCGAATCGAATCGGTTCGCAGGCGTCGCCAGTTGGGTGTGCAGTTGCAGCAGGCCATGTAAAGTAAAGCCTGGAGCCAGCGCTGAAACAGTTTTCAAGCTCTAGACTCTTGATGACTCTTGACTTGCCTCTGTTCATGTATCTCTGGCAAGGAGAGCTTGCCGTCACTGTGCACTCCCACACCTCGTGACTCACAGGCCGTTACGAAGGGGGATGTGTGTCTGGAATTGTCCGAACTGCATCGAACGCGGCATCTGGCGACCTGACCTTGCAGGTCACGTCCAGGCGGCAGATGCCGTATCGGTGCATCCGACTGAACATCTGCCTCGTGCTGGAGCGCATCTGCAACAGCATTCCTCCTGGGGGCGCCGCCATGTTCGAGGCGACAAGTGTCCTGCGCTTTGGTCCACGGTATCTGTGATACCCGTTACAGGTCCCTGTCAGCCAGATCTACGAAATGTTGCACGCATCTTGTTCCAGAGCAGGCAGGGCTGGAAGGGTCAGTCGTCAGCCAGGCGCATGTCCGCGACCCGAAAAGGCAACGGAGTGAGAGGCTCTATGAGAGGGGCAGAAATGACTGTGCCTTTGGCAGCCAGGAGCGTGTTCCTTCGACCTGGGCAAAGGCAACGAAAGCAGTAAGGCGGAAGAGGTAACTTGGCCTCAGGCCGGCACCTGACATGCCCGGATGTTTGCAGCTTTTGCTCATGAGCTCTCTTGGCAGACGTCGCGGCTTCTCGGTTGCCTGGCGCCACGCCGGGCGTCGGCGCTGCGGCGGCTGGCGCAACGTCTCTGGCGCTGTTCCGGCCGGAGCCGGAGGGGATGGGTTTGGTTGGCCAGTTGGCTGAGGAAGGCTTCGTGGGTTGAATATTCGGTGTTTGGGCTTCGAAGTTATTACAATGCACGCAGAAAAGCCCTGGCCTGTCAAAGGCATTCAGCGCTGTGTTTGCGGAGCGGACAGCGGCCGTGCAGACGACCCTTGCAGTCCTTGTATCTTGCTTTCGAGCTGGACACACTCTGCGGGCTGCAGAATTTAGAATGGCATACCCTGTTGTCATACTGTGTGAGTTGTTGCGTGCTCGACAGACACTCGAGTCTCAAGGCACTTGCTTGGATGATGCCACCGCTGCCTGCTTGTGGCGGCTGCTAGCAGAGCATGCGCGGCAGGTGGATCTCGTCAACGTCGAAGCAGACACAGAGGGCAGAAAGAGTAAATGAGGTAGGGGAGGAGGGAAATGGAGCTGATGGCTGTCACATCTTTAAATTGACTCTAAATTTCTAAGTGATTCCCAGCAACGATCGTGTCTGTAGCTGTCACGAATTCAGACTACGAGGAATGTCAAGACACAGAACAAAGCGACCAGCAGTGCTTGTGCAAGCACCAACATTTTGTGGTGGTCTGTCTAATGTGAGCGTGTCACACAGGAAGAACGGCTCGCCGTCGTCTTATGAGTGCGCGGCGGGGACAAGAGAGAGGGAGGGAGAGAGAGAGAGAGATTAGCCTGCAAGGAAACAGCAGGAAGACTAAAGGTCTCTGCCGAAAGAAGAGGGAACAACGTCTTCTGCGTCTGGGGAGGTGGAGTTGGCATTGGCCCAAAGTTCCAACCACGTGCGGACGACTCAGTTCCTGGAACTTTTCGGTGTTCTGGTGCTTTAGCTTTTGCAGGTTTCCGAAAAATCCTAAAGCAATGCCATTCGTGCTTCGCTGGAGGCCTTGCCCTCACTTTCACGGAAAGCCGGCGGCATGGCTGAGCAAGTGAATTCTGGGGCAAGTGCTATAGAGTTGAAGCTTCCTTGAAGCTCGCCTGGGATTGCGTCGCGTTTGCAGTTGCAGCTTTGGCTGAAGCTCTTCAGTTAAAGCCACGAAAGCGATGGCATTCCCTCGCGATTTCCAAAGTCCCAAACTCGTCGCTCAATCCAGCAGCACGTCACTCAACCGATTGATGCAGCGCCCCTTCTCATCACCTGATGGGAGATGCGGAGTGAAATGCCAGGGTGGGGCAGGTCGTTGTGCAAGCAGAACGCAATGCACATGCACATGAGGTCAGTGAAACTGTAGATTCTTAGATAGGTGTTCTTTCTCCATCTTCGACCTTGCCAGCTGCGACTTGAGGATGCCACGGCCGAAGCTGAAGCCACAGACAGAGAAGGCACGTGGGCAGAGAAACTCAATACAGCTGTGAAAAGTGCCGAGCCGTGGAATAAGTTGCTAGAAGACTACCCCGCAGTAGGTGAGGAAGGCACCGGCATGTCGCTGTCTGGGTTTGTGATTGCCTTGTTTCCTCTGAAGGGAGAATTTGCCAGCAGCTGGAGGATACAGCAATTTGCTAGCCGAGTTGATGTCAGAATGCAGCTCGTTAGCGTGGCTGACATAATGGTCTGTGGATGGTGCTAGGCTGGACCCTCGAATCTTGTTCATACCCTTGCAGAAAGCTTTTCTCGTTTTAGGGGAAGTCTGCTGTACAGGCGCCTCTTGCGACGCACAGGAGTTGGACGCACAGGAGTTGGGGTGCCGACTTGTTGCGGTGAAGATGCTTGACACAAACAAGATCAGCAGAGTGCAGGACTACCACTGCTCTGCGCAGAAATTCCTGCAGAGGTCTGGAGCTTGGCGTGACTGTGATGAGCAGCAGAGCTTGGACATTCAGAGGATGCACGGTTTGGTACCGAGCGCAGGGTAATCGTCGCAGACCCAAAGTTCGCAATAATGGCTGATTCTTGAGTTGATGCCAGGAATCTGATTAGCCCGTCATTTATCAAAGGACTTTCAGTTTTTGGCAGTGAATTGTGAATTTCTGCTGTTCTTTCTCGTGACTGCCGGCAAGAGGAAATGCACGAACTTCCGCAAGGTTGCGTTTGGACAGCTTCCTATCCTTCCTTGCGTCCTCGCTCCGACAGCTGCTTTGGAAGCTGAAGGCAACGAACGTTGTATTCTTGCAGAAGCAGTATTCCTGTAGTTTTCTCACAAAACCAGTGGGTACTCCGAAGGCCCAACCTTGAGGCAGTTCTCTCCGCTGCCTTTCAGTTCCGGAGGCCAGTCTGAAAGCCGGCACTGCTGGCCCCGAGGTGACGAGGACATCTCGGAGCAAGAGTTCTGATCTAGGCTCCCAGGATGTCAGGCAAAAGGGATGGCAAGGGTCGTGTCCGAAGCTGGGCGCGGAGCTAGGAGCCTTGCACCCGGCAGGAACTTTCAACTTCAGTTGGCGCGGTCCTTGCAATTGGCTGCACAGTACTTGCGCAGCATGCCGGGCAGGCTGGGGTGTTTTTGTGCCGGGGAGTGGACAGAGACAGACAGACAAACTCTCTACAGCTGACGTCCTCCTTCCGACTTTTTTCTCTTGATCTCCATGTAAAGGCTGCTGCCGCACCTGGCGGCCCAGGTCCTCGCAGCGCCGCTGGTGGCGCTCAAGGTGTCACCGAAAAAGCCAAGCAAAGCGAAGCGCGGAAGAGAGAGCCGAAAGCCGAAAGCGAGCAGGGCCATTTGGCGTCTTCGGCCTGGGGACCATTGGCTGCAGCACCACGAGGCTTTCGGGGGAAATTCAGGCTTCGGATAGACATGACGTTGGTGTATGGCGCGTGTTTCCTCAGTCGTTTGTAGTGGTTCGTTCTGAGTACTGTGTTGTCTTCGCCATCTCAGTATCTCAGATTTTCTGCACTGTGGTGTGATGTTGAGTCAGATTGTCCTGACATCTTGGATGGCTTTTTCCACGGCGTTTTCTTGTTGGTTTTCTGTTCGCGACTGTGACGTTGATTGGATGCATGCCAGAATATGCAGGGCTGGCTGTGTGGTGCGTATCAGATGCTGCGAACCAGGAGATGGCCAGAGCTCCTGTGCCTTGCGCCTCTGGGCTTCTTACTTGGAGCTGCCTGGTTGCACGAGCCCTTTTGCGTAACTGACGTCTCTCGTTTTTTTGCTTGTCCATGTGTCCATGTCCGGTCATAATCTGCTGACCTGAGTTGAGGGTCCGGAAGGGCTCCAGGCCACCTCCGGTTCTGTCAGGGTCGGTGTCAGCTTCTGCGCTCCGCGCGCGATACCAGACAGACGGCATCAGCGGCCATGAACGCATGCTCACCAGCACCACCAGCGAGGTAGTCATGGCCTCTCACTCACCAATGGGAGCATTCGCAGTGCGGCCTAGCAAAGATCTCAGTGGCCCGGACGCTCGCTGCTGCTCCCAATCCACTGCGCTTAGCTGGCCACAGATTGTGTCTCACTTAAGCATGGGTCCCTGGGGTTCCAGGCCTGCGTGTAGCAAAACCAACTGTGTTGTCCGCGTGCATTGCCCTTTGGATCCTCAGGGATCATACCTGCGCCAATATCCTTCCACCGAAGGGGGGAAACTTGGGGGCAGTTTTCTGGTAGCGGAGCCTGTGTTGGGCTCGCCCCCCTTTCTTACACCGCCACATGGCCACAGCGGTTGGCTCCGGCCAATCTCTTCCCTAGGCGTGTGCCGAGGTTGCATGAGGTTGCGCGATGTCTTATGCCGCAAGCCAGGCATATGNNNAGCGAGAAAATGCTCAGCCATCTCGGCATTACACCGCAAATAGCACCGGCTTCTGGCACCGCTTCGTGGTTTGAGTATGGACAGCTTATTGATGACTGGTGCGACACTACTAGTACGATTATTTTCGATGGGGGGTTGTCCTTCTGGTGCAAAATTATGGATCCACTGTCCATTTTCATCATTTTCAGGCGGGTGCGGGGAGGGGGGGGGGGGGG